TGAAGCAGTAGCTGATAAATTTGAATATCACTGTACTGAAAATTAAGGCCATCCCTTATTCAGGTGAGCGCTTACCTGACCCAAGTCAAAGTACTCCATAGAGTGAAAGGGATTCACATGACAGGTCATGCTTTAGAGAGGATAACTGTGAGTGACTTGTAACTAAGTATAAATGTCCAGTAAATGTCCTTAGGTATATAGATGATTTACGCTCTGAACCTTTGTGGTCTCCTATTTGACTTTGAACCACAAATCACTCTACCTCTAAATTTGACTGTTCAGCTGATTTCCAGTCTGCCTCACTGCCCATACACTAGCTTGTTTATGATGAACTTAGGAGGAACAGAAGCCTTACTGAATACCAGGCAGCCAGTAATCTCCCCTCACCCATCAGGCTGCTCATTTCATTGCAGAAGTTGGCCAAGCATGGTGAAACAGTGGTGATTGATTAGTCCTGGTTATCTTCTTGTCCTTCGTGTGCCTGGAAATGTTTTCCAGGATTAGCTACTCCATTACCTTCCCAGGGACTGATGTGTGGAGTGATGTTTACTTTCCTCCAGTCATTGGGCACTTCTTCTTGTTGCCATGATTGTCAACATTATCAAGAGTGATCTTGCAGTGACATCCATGAGCTTTCTTTGCATTTAAAGGTGCATCCCATCAGGGTCTATGAACTTACAAATGTCCAGTTTGCTTAAGTGTTTCCTGAACTGATCCTCTTCCACCAAGAAGATGTCTTCTTTCCCTTGTCTTTTCCTGGTCTCTGGAACTGGGAGTTACTAAAGACTGAGGCAAAGAAGGTGTTCAGTGCTTCTTTTCCCTTCCCCATGTAATAAGTTCCTCTGCTTCATTTAGCAGTGATCTCACACTTTCCCTAGTCTTCCTTCTGTCATGTGTGCGCTTCTACAAGCTCTTCTTGTTGTCTTTGATATTCTTGTCCACATTCAATTCCATTTAGTAATTTAACTTTACAGACAGTATTATTCTAAGTGTATTTCCCATTACTGGTGTAAAAATCAGTATTTCAGTGACTGCCTGTGAGCCTTTGAACTGTGTTCTTGCAAACATTGTGAATTTAAATAGCATATCATAACACCTAGCTTACTTTTGAGATTGTCTGTAGTTTTGGTCTTCTCACTACAAGAAAGACATTGAGGCCCTGGAGCATGTCCAAAGAAGGGCAGTGAAGATGATGAAGGGTCTGGAACATAAGTCTTATTATGGGAAGTGCCTAAGGCAACTTTTCAGTCTGGAGATGAGGAGGCTCAAGGCAGACCTTGTCAATCTCTACAGCTCCTGAAAGGAGGTTGTGGTGAGGTGGGAGTTGTTGGCCTCTTCTCCCAGATAACAGTGCTAGTACAAGAGGGAATGGCCTCAGGTTGCACCAGCAGGGGTTCAGGTTGGACATGAGGAACAATTTCTTCTCTGAAAGAGTGGTGAGGTATTGATTCTATGGAATGTTAGATAAAACAAAACATATGACAGAAGCAGGAAGAACAACCTGTAAGTGCCCACTTCAGCTACATTAACATGGTTGGCTTCTCTGAGAATTCTTTTTACTGTGATGTTTACCATTGCTATTTACATTTCGTGCGTAAATTGCTCTTTAATTTACTTACAGAGAGTATTTATTATTTGCTAATCTTGCCCCATTACAAGGAGAGAATTTTGCCCTTAATGGAACTTTCTTGATTTCTTCAGATGTGAGTTGGGTTCTTGAGAAACAATCCTGTTTTCTCCTCTCCTTTTGTTATCAGGCCATGTACGATTCCATTCAGAAACTGGATA